GCATTCCATGGAATATAACAAAAAGTGTATCTCGAGCTGGTTTCTCAAACTTACCTACCCCACCTTTAAAGTGGACCTATCATGCTATATTTGAATAATATATTGTAGGGCCATACCTATATAAAACATGTCTGTGAAGTTTTTTTTTCAAAATACCAAACAGATCATGCATTTTAGCCATGCCTCATTTCGCTCTATTTGCTCTTTTCCAGCCCTGTTTTTGCAAGGGCTGATTCTGTGAGAAGTCTTCTTCGCTGCTTTTGTGGCAGACTACAACGCCACTTACAGGCCTGGCATATGTACTACAGCGTCTCCAGTGCTTTCGAGCGGCAATGGCCGTGGCCCAACCCCCCATTCCCCTGATAGGTGGAGAGTTGCCAATATAGGCGGAGCTCCCCGTTTCTGACGTCAGAACAATTTCAAATCTGTATCAGCTCCGTTGCAGCCCCGTTTTTAGAGATTTGGGTATGGAGGAAAAGAGAGAGGGTTGTGTTTTCTGACACTTGGTGAGTTCCCTGGAACACCGGGGACACATATTCATGTATAAAAGACGTACAAAAGTGCATTTTGCATGATAGGTCCCCTTTAAGTTGTGTTTAATAATAATAATAATAATAATGGGTTCCATTTATAAAGCACTTCATATTCGAATTCAAATCCCGAAGTGCTACAGGCAGTGAGCAGGAACAGTATAAATAGACATGACACAACACGGTAGAATTCATAAAAAGCAATAAAAAAAAAAAAAAAAAAAAAATAAAGATAAAAGGATGGTAAAAGGGTCTAGGCAAAGGCTCTTTTGAAAAGATGGGTTTTGAGGCCTTTTTTAAAAGCCTCCACGCTCTGTGGTGCTCTCATGTGGTCGGGGAGAGCGTTCCACAGACTGGGGGCAGCCGAGCAGAAGGCCCGGTCTCCCATGGTACGGAGCTTAGTCCTGGGGGGTTTGAGCAGGTAGGAGTTGCTGGAGCGGGTGGTCCGCAAGGAGGTATGGGTGGTGAGGAGTTCCTTGAGGTAGGGAGGGGCAGTTCCATGGACACACTGGTGGGTGAGGACGGAGATCTTGAATTCTATCCTCAGTTGTACGGGTAGCCAGTGTAGTGCTTTAAGGATGGGGTGATGTGGTCATATTTGCGCACCCTCATCAGGATCCTAGCAGCGCTGTTCTGTATGTACTGGAGCTTCTGGATGCTTTTGTTAGGGATCCCGATGAGGAGTGCATTGCAGTAGTCCAGCCTGGAGGAGACAAAGGCGTGGACCAGCTTTTCGGCGTCGGACAGAGTGAGTGTGGGGCGGAGTTTGGCGATGTTCCTGAGGTGATAGAAGGAGTTCTTGCACAGCTGTTTAATGTGGGCCTCAAAGGTGAGATAGGAGTCAATTTTAACACCCAGGTTGGTGACTATTGAGGAGAGGGTAATGTCCTGGCCGGAGAAGGTGATGGTGGATGACTGAACCTGGTGTGGGGTGCCAACTATAATGGCTTCGGTCTTGGAGCTGTTGAGTTTCAGGAAGTTTTGCTTCATCCACGCCTGTATCTCCTCCAGGCAGGCAGTGAGTGTGGGTGAAGGCAGGGCTGCAGAGGAGGTAGGGTTGATCCTGAGGTACAGTTGGGTATCATCAGCGTAACAGTGGAATGATACTCCATGTCGGCTGATGATAGAGCCAAGGGGGGAGCATGTAGAGTGTGAAGAGGGTGGGGCCGAGAACTGATCCTTGAGGGACACCACAGGTGACGTTGTGGGTACCCGACTCTGCCTCGCCCAAGGAGACGTACTCTGTTCTCCCGGTGAGGTAAGATCTGAACCAGTCAAGGGGAGAGTCAGAGAGTCCGATGGTGGAGTGCAGACGATGGAGGAGGATGCCGTGATCGGTGTCGAAAGCTGCAGTGAGATCGAGGAGGATGAGGAGAGAGGGAGAGCCAGCATCAGCCGTCATCAGCAGGTCGTTGGTGACCCTGACCAGGGCAGTTTCTGTGCTGTGGCCTGAGCGGAAACCAGACTGGAACTTCTCAAAGAGGCTGTTGGAGTTTAGGTGGTCCTGGAGCTGAGCAGCAACTAGGTTTTCCAGCACCTTCGACAGAAAAGGAAGGTTGGAAATGGGTCTGTAGTTGGCCAGGACTCCCGGGTCAAGGGAGGGTTTTTTGAGACGAGGTTTGATGACAGCGGTTTTTAGGGCAGAGGGGACATGGCCAGCCTGGAGAGAGAGGTTTGCGATCTTAGTGATCATGGGGCTCATGGTACAGATGTAAGATTTCACAATAGCTGACGGAAGGGGGTCCAGGACACAGGTGGAGGGCTTCATCCTCCTAACGATGCCCTCAACCTCTCGCTGAGAGACGTCCGTGAAACAGCGAAGAGGCTGGGTTGTCCCAGGCTGTGGGTCAGCAGTTGGAACTGGAGGTGTAGAGGGGCTAGAGAGGAGGGAGCGGATGGTGTCAACTTTGTTGGTGAAGAAGGCGGCGAAGTTGCTACACTGCTTCTCAGTGGAGTCGGAGTGTAAAGGACTTTGGGGTTTGAGGAGGTGGTTAATGGTGGAGAAGAGTTGCTTGGAGTTTCCAGAACTGTTGTTGATGAGGGAGGAGTAGTACTGGGACCGTGCATCTCTGAGGGACTGTGCGTAGGCCTTCTGGTGTTCACGATAGGCTAACTGGTGAACAGTGAGTCCTGAGGCCTTGAGCCGCCGCTCAAGGACACGCCCAGCTGTCTTCATTCTCCGCAGCTCGCCGGTGTACCAAGGGGCTGAGCGCGAGAAGGTGACCATCCTGGTTTTGAGGGGGGCGTGCAGATCAAGGAGACGGTTAAGTGAGTGGTTGTAATAAGCAACTGACTCATTTACTGATGAGAAGGTGGCGGATGAGAGATGCTGGAGATCCAGGGTCATGGTGTCCGGGTTGATGTTCCTCAGGTTCCTGAAGCGGATTTGGCGTTTGGGCATGCTGAGTGGGGACTGGAAAAAGAGCTCCATAGAGATGGTCTTGTGGTCAGACACCCCCAGGTCATACACCAGCAGATTGCTGATGGGGGCGGAGTTTGTGATGACCAGGTCGAGCGTGTGGCCCTTGGCGTGTGTGGGGACATTAACATGCTGTGTCAGATTGAGGCAGTCCAGAAGTAGCAGAAACTCAGTGGCAAAGTGGCAGGAGGGGGAGTCGACGTGAATATTAAGATCTCCAAGTATGTCAGTCGTTGACAGCAACTTTCTGCCTCGTGTTAGCATTCCCGTTTTTTAAATTGTTATTTTTTTCTAGTGGTTTATGGTTCATCTTCATTCTCTTCTTTGAAAGGATAAATCTGAAATGTTTTAGAATATTGTCCTGCACAAAGAATTTCAGCTTCAAAGAGGCATTACTCATCGTTTATTTGCATCCTCATAAGCTTTAACAAAGTGGTTGTTAGTCTCACTGGGATCAACATTCAGTTTTGATCAAAATAAACAACTATTTAGAATCGCAACGTAATGAGAAAAGACGGAACAAAAAGATTTTAGCATCAGAAAATATGAGGATGAAAACAAAACAAAAACTAATTATGATCAGAGCTTATTACATCTGTGTGAAATTCATCAGTGAGTTTGTGATGAAAAATCTACTTTTGATCCTTTCTACTGTATACTGAAACTTGCCAAAAAAAAAGCTAGAGGACACCCTCTGCTCATTAGGGGTATAAATAAGGATTACATTCATTATCAAATAATCGTTATTTAATATCCATATTCTTTTTGTAATTGACAATCAATTTTCGTTATCTCGAAAATGATCCCTTGGTCTTAATGGTCATCCCTGACAAAGTATAGGTTGACAAAAATATCTTAAAATGTCTTATTGTCTACAACCCACAATTACAAATTCAGAGATACATTTAGTTTCCTAAAACATATGAGAAGTTAAAACAGGAAATGGCCCCGTTGGAGACATTGGAACTAGAAACTGTAAGTAGTATATTTGACTTTTGCTATAAGGAATACGTTAAACCAATTATTAAAATAGTTCCCATTAAATCCAGTCCATAAACTCTTAGCCATGTACCTGAGTGTATACGGTATTAGTGATTAGTATCGACAAGCAGGTCAGCACCGTAGTCAAATCCCTCTTTTTTTAAATAAGACTATTGGCCAAGACCAAGTCGTATTTATCTTTTAAAGACCTAGAAAGGGTTATTAATGCCTTTGTTACCTCGAGACTGGATTACTGCAACGCTCTGTATGTGGGTATGGACCAGGCCTCAATTAAACGCCTGCAGCTAGTCCAAAACGCAGCTGCACGTCTTCTGACTGGCCACAAAAAACGTGACCACATCACCCCAATTCTGGCCTCACTACACTGGCTTCCAATTCGGTTCCGAATTGATTTTAAACTCCTTTTATTTGTTTTTAAAGCACTAAATGGGCTGGCTCCGGCTTATTTAGCAGAACTCCTCCAGCGCTACACCCCAGCCAGAGCTTTAAGGTCTGCTGACCAGCTGCTGCTGGTAGTGCCCAAGACTAGGCTCAAAACCTGAGGTCACCGAGCCTTCGCAGCTGCTGGCCCCAGGCTCTGGAACACTCTGCCCCTCCATGTGAGGTCGGCCTAGGGGTTTTTAAATCCTCACTAAAAACACACTTCTTCTCTCTGGCCTTCTAGTCAGAGCGGAGCATGACACCTGACTATTCCCTGTGTTTTTGTTTTTTATATTTCTGTTGTAAATTATTGTCTTTTATTGTGATTGTAGTAATTTGTTTTTATTACATGTGCAGCACTTTGGCTCGACCAAAAATCGCTTTTAAATGTGCTTTATAAATAAAACTTGATTTGATATCGTTTTGTTCTCCTATACATTTTCATTAAAAAAAGAATGTAAATTTGTGGGGGTAAGCTCTACAGCAGTAGCTGAGAAATTACTACAGAGCTTGAGTAATGAGTTTGCATTTTCTCATCATTAAATACTGCATAAGTCATGTTCAGTGCCCCCCCGCCCACCCTGTCTGATGCTGTGCCCTCTTCCTCTTCCTCTTCTTCCCACGCCCAGAAAGCCAGACTGGCCAGGATAAGAATATCCAAGTCCAGCGCCAGCGCCTTCCTGCACAACAAATGCAACGGCCTGCTCAACGAACTGCTGGAGCTGACGGTGAGAACGACCTCCGCCCTCTGCACACCGACAAACACCGACAACCACCAGCAGTGCGACCGAGTGGGCGCCGTTATTACTCAGATGTTCAATGTGTTCATTAAAAGTGACATGAAGATGTCAGCAGATTGTAATTCAGTATGAGAGATTAATCATATTGTTCCTTGTCAAACATCCTATTACTAATAATTCCAGTTCCCTGCAACGCAAGGAAAACATTCACATCTGTAGTATACACACACATTTACACACACTGACAAACATTTACTGCTATAATTAAGCAAAGGAAGTAATTTAGAGGCAATGAAAGCAGCTGAATTTGGAGTCATTACTTTCTGGTTGTCATACAGGAGTCATGCCAATAATCGAACATTCAGGCGTTATCAGTGTCATCACACAAAATACTTGTTCTTAGTTATCTGTTAATCCTAGATTTAATTTATTCCACATCTGTAAAACTGGCAAAGTCAAACTTTGTACTTCCCTTGCTTGTTATTTAATTGCTCTTGGTGATAATTAGACGGTTAGTGCATTAAAAAAGAGGCTTCAGCTAACTTCAAAAGTGCAGCAGTGAACAATAAGGCCGCGGAGGACACTCAAACCCCACGACTCCTGTTCCTACAGAAGAGAAACAATGTTTGTGTCCTTCTTCAGAGGTACAACATGTTTCTGTCTTTCCTCCTCTCTAGACTGCAATGTTGTTATGTTATTGTCTTTTGTCATCACCATACTAAAAAACTGAAATAACCGTTTTTCGTGGCAACAAAACAAGTTTAAAGAAATGCTTATAAAGTTGAGATGATGAGGTTGAATATTTAGACATCAGAGCAACAGTACATTAACCAATCTACTTTTCTTTTTTTATACTCATCCGCTTTAAGTTTGAACCATGTTAATGCATGAGCAAATTGCCTGTGTCCTTCCTGTCCATAAGTCTTGCTACATGCTCCCCTCCGTGCAGATGGCAACTGAAATGCATTTGGATCTAATAGAGTCCAGTGTGAAGGCTCATGGGTGTTAGTGGTTAGAATTATCATATACACTCCATCTGTGAGCGCAGAGCGAGCGTATTCCTTGGCGTGTGTGATGAGACCTGCCGCATCAAATGAGGGTGTTGTCACTGCTGTCAGTCAGCGAGGGGTCCGGGGTGGGGTCGAGTGCGAGGTGACATTATGACAAAATGACTGCTTCTTTCACAACCTAGATTAGAAGTTCTGGTCTGCTAGTTTTTCCATCTCCCCTGAAGGCTTTTTAATTTTCTGACAGTCATTTATTTGTTACCCAGATCACAGGCTCATTATCGTAGAGGGTGATTTATTGATAATCCTGTCAAGTTTTATTATAAGCTTCATCAGAAAGGCCTTACAGCGTTATCCCTTTAGCTGCTGTTGTATTTCTCTTTTTACTTTAGAGTGACAGGATTTGTTCTGATATGGTAAACACCAAATCACTGCCAACATGGCGGGTTACAGGTGCTAAATGACAACAGAACCAGTCAGATAGATATATACAGTATTTACTGTATATAGGAAAGGCGAAATGGGGCTCACAATCACAGCTGTCTTATTTCCTGTGTTCTTCTGCACATGTTAGAAAAAGGGCAATGGACCGATTGCCATACAAATTGTAATAAATGTAGTTAAGACAACAAATATAAGATGAAGATAAGATGTGAAATGTTCTTTATCGCGGTTTATGTCATTAAATATTTAGGTAATGCATTTTTCTGGAATATTAATTGATAAACTGTTGAATAAAAAAGTAGAATGGGAACGTCCACTTTTGACAAAAACATCTATTTGAATGATCGATAAATACAAGATCACATTACTGAAGAAATAATAACCAAACTAATATATTCGTAAAGCAGTTCTACTTATTGATTGGTATCATTTACACTAAGAGATCTACCTCTTTATTGTCATATCATACACAACAAATGGACCATTTAAGAAAAACAGCTCTAAGCCTTGCAGATAAGACAAGTTAAACAAAAAATATAATTTTCACAACGAGGTTAATGCCGTCAAAATCACTTTCCAAATGGATTGTACCTACTGAGCTTCTTACACGAGAGTGTTGACACAGGTCTCTAACTATACGTTGTGTTTGACAGTGCCTCTGCCACAGATCCATACATTGAAACATCAGAAGACGCAGTTTCCTCACGTGCACATCACTGTATTATTCATGTGTCTGGAATTTGAATGAGAGTCCTTGGGCTGGATCGCCACCCACCCAAATCCTTTGAGTAACAATGTGTGCTGTGGGGAGGGAATTCATTTGTTTTCAGTTTTCATGTTTTTGGCAATTGTGATTGCTTTGAGACTAAGCTATATTGGAGCGGAGCTTTGAATCCGAGTCCTGTTTGGAGAAACACAACAACAACAACAAGTTCCAGAAGTTTTCTCTTTTCCTCAACGCTTCTCCACCTCCTTTTTTGTGACGCTTCGCACATCAATATCTGTTCAGCTGCCTGGAGCATCACATGTACTCAGTGGCACCTACTTAGATAATTAAGGAAGAGAGAGCTGGCAACAACACAGTTTTCTCATTTTTAAGTTCAATAAAAGGAGAAGGTATTTTGGAGCCTGCTTACACAAGGTACCAACATAAGGCAATCACAGTAATAATGGCACAAAAGATGCAACATGGGACAATTCATTATAAACAAACTATTTGACAAGGCAGAGGGATCAATTCACACGGACTGGAAATGTGGCCCACTATGTCATTAATTAACAAGTAAGTTATCTGAAAGCAAGCAGCAGGATTTGTCCGTTACCTGATAATGATAATAATGATCACAACTAATGAGAATACTAATGATTGAGATAAACAAACATAAACCAGGATCATCCAGTTTAAAATGGCACACATGGAGCAGAACTAGTCACCTATGACTTCATTACGGATGACAAAGGAGAGGCTTTAATGAGTCAAGAAGAAACACCTACAATATCATTTGTCAAAATTCATCAATTTTGTGTGTGTGTGTGTTTGTTTGTGCGTGTGTGTTTGTGTTTGTGTGTGTGTGTGGCTTACTAAGGATACAGAAGAGGATGATCAGAAGCTGAATAAGTCAACGTCTCTGTTAGAGAGCCAACACCACCACCTACTGAACTGTCTGGAGAAAACCACTGTGGGTACACTCGATCACTTCTCTGTCTCTGATCCTTGCAGCGTAAAACAACCCTCCAACTACATGAATGTGGTTGAAACTAAGTGTTAATTGTCCCTTAAGTATTGAATCATGATAATACGGTTTGCATTAGATAAGTAGTAGTTAAGTTTCAAATGTTTGCATTGAAAATTTAACTTGAGAAATAGTGTGCAAGTAAAATTAGAAAAAGTACCATATGCAGGAAAAATCTGTTATTCCTTATGGATTAATCTGAGGATTATTTAAATAAATACCCGTCACAATTATCCAGAAACCATACTGACACCTAACTAAACCCAACCCCAAGCACTTTGATACCACCGCTGGGAACCACACACTCCACCTGCAAAGATCTCATAATCATGTGTATTCCCTGTTTGTTTTTATTCATTACTGATTATTGGAGTTTTGTGGCTGTCAGGGATGAATATCGTCATGACAGTAATGTTTTTCATCTCATATTTGTCTCAACATCAGGAAGAAAAAGATTATTGACAAAAAAAACTCAAAATGTTTATATATCAGTTTGACACCTTTTCAAAGTCTGCACTCTAAAACGATGTTGATGTTGTCCGTTGACTCGTGTTTTGCAAAATATTTCAGTGTAAAAAAATTGATTTGTTAAAGGCAGTGATGCTCTATCCATTAAGCAAATATACAGAGTGAGTTTATGAATGTTCTTCTGGTTCAATTATATATATTATAATCAGTAGTAATTATCTTTCTTTGTAAAATTTGAAATGATATCACTCAAGGCAACTACATCTGTGTTGTATTGACTTTAAACTCTCTTTTCCTCTTTCTGCACCTTTCCCTTTCACGTATATTTAATCCCCCGTCCTCTCTCATCTCTCCAGGCTCATGAGTTTGTAGACGAGCAGATATACGAGCAGAACTGTTTGGACACGGCGCTGCAGAGCTACCACTCACGCAGCCCGTCTGTATCCAGCAACGACGAATCTGTGGGCACCTGCTGTGGCTGCAGGACAAAGAAAAACACTCCTCTGCCCTGCAGCCCCCCCGTCCCGACACAGCAGAGCCCCCTGCAGGAGCTCAGTGCCTTCCACATAGGCTCTGGAGGGTCCCACGCCACCAGGTAACAGACATACTGTTCAATCTGGCCAGGGACTTAAAGTGGTTCTTCCCCACTTTAAGTCCCTGAATATTTCAGCTACACACCTGTACAGTTTAAACACTGCCTCTTGCATGGTTGGGATACTAGTTATCATTGCAAACATTATAAACCATGAGCATTGTCCGTCAAAAATAAAATGATTGAGAAATGATGAGTAGGCAAGAAATAAAAGGTCAAGAAAAAGTCATAGTATGTCGCCAAAAATATTTTATTATGTTGTTTAACATACTGTACATTATAACATTGTTAATAGTTTGTCTTACTCTCTACATTAAATGTCCTAGTCGATCAAAGCTCAACCTGAAAACGAATGACAGCGTCAGGATCAACTGTAAAGGAGAACGTATCACCACAGCGATCATCAGCCTCCCGTCGCCTCCCTCTTTAAACCCCGATGCTGCCGGCCTCCGCGGGCCCCCACAGAGGAGGCCCCCCCCCGCCCCCGGGTCACCCTGCAGCTCCGAGCATCCAGACCACAGCGAGCTCAGCTGGAATCAACATCTTCAAAGTGTCCGCTCTGTAACTCTCTGACAGGGGTAACTCATCTCAGCTGGAGGAAAGAAGCGGGGAGGAGGAGGCGAAGCAGCTCATACTAACTCTAATGACGCACCACGTCCCGTCTCACAGGAGGAGAGGCTGTACTCCAGAGGAGCTTTAGAGAAGCAGATGATGTGTAGACATCACTGAGGTACAGGATTGTATATGTGAATTGAAAAAAAAGAGTCACTGCATTTCTAATAGTTTCTAACAGCAGTACATATGTTTGACAGCAGGCAGTGTGGAAAAGATTGAAAGACATTTTGCAGTTAGCTTATCTGTACATCAGCAGTTGCTGTCAACGTACCACAAATTCACAGTAACATTTTAAGTGGATATACTGTGAAACTGTAAAGATATTTCAAATGTGTTTGAAGAAAGATGCAGAAACGTTTTTAAATGTGTTTACTTGAATTTGATTGGTCCTGTTTGTGTTACGTGTTTGTCTCAAGTATTTTGAGGAAAAAAACGATTACACTTTTAGGTTGCTTTACAGCATCATTTGCAAAGTCACAGTACGATGCTGCTGATATGTGAGCTTGATGTGTCTAAAAGAGAAAAGAGATGGGGCCATTTTTTAAATGTCAATGTCTGACTTGAGTTTGAGGCTGACCTGACACTGTCTTCATACCTTAAAGGGTTTCCTTATGAGGTTAAACGTTTCAACATGATACCACACAATTACTTTCAAGGATGATGATTCAAAAGAAAAGGCCAACAATGAAAAAAACTAAAAGCATCAATGTGGTAGTCTGTCAAAAACTTGCCACTGAAGTTCAAGCACATTTTACTTGTCAGCTGCGGATGGATACATATCAAGATTACAAATGAGAGCAACAGAGTGGTCTTTATGGGAAAGCATCAGTGTCCATGTTCACTGTAATTAAACAGCATGTCATCCAGTGTAGATTTCTGACGTGTGTTTATAGAGGTTACGGTACAAAGGAATAAGCTTATATCAGGCTTCGGCCTATGGAAAATATTGAATATTTACAGCCATATCCCTTAAATGCATACGGTACATTTTTCCCAAACGAGTACATGATCCTGTTTGTATAAATGTGCTTTTAGTGGTGTGGAATAATTAAATCTGCAGCTGCTGCGCTGCCACTACCCGTTGAGTGTTGTAGGCTGAGGGGACATGAGAAAATGATAATGTGTCTATTCATCATGAGCACGAGTGGGCATTTTAGGTAATGAATGCAAAAAAGGTTGAGCACCACTCTCATTTCAAGCAGCCACTGCAGAACATTACAGGGAGGGCAACTCATGTTCAATCCATGTTTTTCAAGCTTCAAAGCCACACTAAAAGCTGTTTTTTTACAAAAAGTTACATATGCAAATATAAAAGTGTATCTGGGGCATCTGATCACTTAAAGCAGAAATGTGAATGCTCAAATTGGCTGTACCATGTTGTGTCATGAGTGTCAAGGAAGAGATGATATTTCTCTGCAGTGGGTTCAGGAGATGTAAGCTAAACTACTAGGAAGTAAATGTGCTAGTTTAAAAGAATAATCCAAATCTGAAGTCCCTTTTCTGGCTTTTCCTGCATCAAACATGCTTTACATTAAAGTCAACGTAGATTATAACACAAAGATCTGTGGATGAAATCTCAACGGCTGCAGAGAATGCATTTTAACAGATCTATCTCTGACGAATACCGATAGAGTAGAAATCCTTGGAAAAAGGGCATTAAGAGGACATTGAGCCAGGATAGTTCTCTGAAAAAATGTCCAAGGTTAATATGAAGCTTTGTGGCTATTAGCAGCTTGAACTTGATCATCTGAACGATGGCCACAAGATGGCAGCAATGATGCATTCTATAAAATAAAAAAAGATTAGGAAGTAATAAAAGATAATTGGGTCTTGTTCATGGACTAACTCCTGCTTTCATATTCTTTTTTTTCCTCCTTCGAGTTGTTTTTTGATTGACGCCCGGTGTTTGGAATAGTTTGTGACTTCCTGCAAAGTGTGCTATGGTTATCTGTGTCGACTATGTGTTTAAATGTCTTCACTGTTTTGTTAAAGTGGAAGCTACGATCAAATGAAATAGTTTTGACTGTATCTGTATACTTTGTGTTCTTTCCTATCACGTTGTCACGTTTTAAAACCCAGGTGAACGTACTTGTGCCAAAAGAGTCACTTTTCCATCCTCTGTAGGAACAACAAAGTAGTTGAACTCTTTATAATAAAACCGTGTAAAAAATGACACACCCTTTAGATACTTTTTCCTTTCACTGTTTATGCTAAAAACTATTATTTATAACTCCAAAACTTGGATCTTGGTTGACTCGTTATACATACACATTAGAGCTTTTCACAGTTTCATACAGACCGTGCTTCAACAGCAGAAAGCCTGCTCTCACACGGTGATGATGTATGATGAACATGTGTTGTGATATTAAGATGGAGTTGGTATTAAAGGGTGGGGGTCACTTTTTGAAAAGTCTTGGCATTGCTGTATGTGTTGTTTTTATCTTTTTGAGCTGAGCTTTCTGTCTGTTCCTGTCTTTACAGTACTCTGTCAGTTTATTTGTTATAACAGCTATGAAGTGATGGATGAGAAATACAATCTGCCACAACAATGGAGTGTGTCCTTTCTTCTTCCTCCCATCACCAACTTTACAACACTTAAATGGAAAAAGAACAGTCTTGTTTTAAATAACTCAACACAGTTCAAAGCTAAGTTGAGTTAACGCAGTTTAATTGATTGATGTTGTTACTTAAAGGGGACCTATCATGCAAAATGCACTTTTGTACGTCTTTTATACATGAATATGTGTCCCCGGTGTTCCAGGGAACTCACCAAGTGTCAGAAAACACAACCCTCTCTATTTTCCTCCATACCCAAATTTCTAAAAAAGGGGCTGCAACGGATCTGATAAAAACTGATCCAGATTTGAACACTGTCCTGACGTCAGGACAGTGGCGCTACGGCTATTGGGCCAACTCCACCAATCAGGAGGAGACAGCCACGGCCATGGCCGTTCGAAAGCGCTGGAGACGCTGTAGTACATATGCCAGGCCTGTAGATGGTGCTGTTCTCACAGAATCTGCCCTTGCAAAAACAGAGCAAAAAAATGTCAAATTGAGCAAAATGAGGCATGGCTAAAATGCATGATCTGTTTGGTATTTTGAAAAAAAAAAAGTATAAATATGCCTTATATACTGTAGGTATGGTCCTACACTATATTATTCAAATATAGCATGATAGGTCCACTTTAAGTAAAAGTAAGCACTAGCATCAAAATTCATTTAACTTAAAAAGTAGCATTAGTTGCAGTCCTTTCTATTAAATAGTTAACATTAGCTCAGAATCCAGCAAATGTAGAACTTGCTTTATATTAATGGATGAGAAACAATATACAACATACAGTACATAGTATATCACTCACATTGTGAATTCTTCTACACTTAGTACTTTTAATACTTAAAGTATCATAATTAAGTAAAGGATCTGAATACTTCATCCACCACTGCACATGAGGGTACCAGTCACTCAAAAGTAACACTTTTTCTTTTATTACCTAGTTTCAAACACTGAATTTGTTCCCATATGCACATGCAGCCATGTCCCATTAGGTGGCAGCATTGTACACAATTAATATTTCGTTGAGATTATCTGATTTATTTATTACTGAATAAATATAATATAAAGTTTAACTTATCAAATATGTAGTTTAACAGGAGAGTTGTTCAGTTATTACATCCAATAATAAAAGGTGTCGAAAATATCTAAATGGATATAATGCTTTTTGAATAATAGTCATAACATTTTAATAGACAGTTTCAACTTTAGTTACATTTCTATTATAGACATTTGTATTGTAGAAATACAATTTTAAGATACTTGTCCGGCAATGTATTATCACTAATCAAAAATGTAAGGTGTACTCAAAAACCATCTCCCTTCACTTACAGTACTTACATCCTAAATGTATAAGTAAATCAGATTTTTTATTTCATCTTCAATATTAATGAAATAAAATAGCCACCAAATGTGGCAACATAAATGAATAAACTAACATTGCGTTAACACAAAGCTTTGCAAAGGGCAAAGATAGAGAACAATGAAGTAAACTTCCAGGTGCTGTAATAAGATGTGAAGCACAAGTCCAACGGAAGTTGCTTTATGTTTCTGACACAAGTCCTAAACACCACCTTCATGTGTTCAGCCAGGTGTGTCACTCTCAGCTCACTCCCAGCCACAAGAGTGACTGTGACGTTTCTCAGCTCAGAACCATCATTAGTGGTGGTGTGGCTCAGTATCACACAGAGGGGGGGGACGACTCCTCATGTGACTCACTGCTGCGAGCTGGATGTGTGGCTTTTGATCAGCCTTATTCTGGTAGAAATTATTCATAAAGGTTATCAAATAAAACAGTAAGTTTTAGATGCAAAAGTATGATAATGTGAGTGAATTTAGTCAAAGATTGTTTTCACTAGATAGGAAATTGTATTACAAAATAACCCCTTTTAATATGTTTGCGCACTAAACTGCTGCCACACTGTATCAGAATGCATTAAAAACACGACACACATCTTTCGTATGCCTTCATTTGAGATTAAAAAGAAACAAATATGGTCAGCATCTCAAACCTTTATGTCGCCAGGTTCCTACAGAATAGCTACTATTATCAGATGCAAGTCTGCAGTGACACATCCTGGCATTTAGATGGCAGTGCACTAACATATTTGGCAGACAGACTATACTAGCATGCAAGTCTACTAAAAGAAAATACAATAAAGAAAGAGGGTTGTTCAAAGGTTAATAATGAGTACTAACTATCTTCAGAGGGATCACACTAGACGCAATGTCAAATGAGCCAGAGAAGAAGTGTTCATGGTTCAAGGAGCTGGAACCAGTGTATGTTGTTTCAAATCTAAATCTATCATCAAAATGTTGCAGACTAACTTTCTGCTTTTAGACTTTAAAACTAATCAAAAAAACATAAACTTATTAGAACCTGTTACAAAACCGTATCCCTAATGTATGGCCTCGTCATGAGTAATCTGATATTTCTGAAAGATTAAGTAAAAATGACTATACAGTAGTAACTCTTTATTACACTCCTTGTGTGAACTCGGTATGTGTAACATGATAATATAAAGACATGATCGCATGACAGTTAAGGAGACTGATATGGTTTTATTATTTAACAGTTAAGGAATGGCACTTGCATTACATTAAGACATCGCATCATCACAGTGGCTGGTCCCGTTTGGAAACATGAAAGCATGTCATCTTCTCTTTAATTACCACTGCTACACTACAGAGACTACATAACACTACAAAACACTAAGACATAATCTTCTTTCTTGTAGTAAGACTATTAATAGAGCTTATGAATAATGTATATGAACTTTAAACAGGGCTGACTTATCCTGAAGTCACAATTACCCCCAAGTTCACACTGATTGACTCTGGCTGGTGACACAGCCATTACTTTGTAATAACTCCAGATTTAGAATTTGAATAAAAATCAAACTAACGCTCAATGACCTGATTCACAGAAGCAATTTATGAGCCATGCACAGATCACATACCGAGCAGCATCATGTCCACAAATTATGGTAACTTGCAATGTTCCTAAGAAAGGTGGAAGTCCAACAGGGCACTTTGAAACACAAGTAAAACACTTAATTGAAGGGGAAATCCTCTCATAATACATAGTGCATCTGTAGAATGTCTTTAGTTTCCTATCTCACAATATCGTTTGGTATGTTGATGAAACAAGGCAGAATATCATTTTCCATTCTTTAGGTTTAAAGGTGGGGTATGTAATTTATTTCAGAAACACTTGTTATATTCCATGGAATGCTCTTAACATCCCGCTAGCAATGAATATATGAAATGCTTTGACAATAAATACATAAAAAAATGTCATCTGTGGAAGCCGTAGTACTGTAAAAAGCACAACCAATCATCTGAGCCGGCCCGGCTAAAATAACTGGACGGCCTACCTGCCTGTCAGCCTTCCATCTCGTGCACAAACTTATCTCGTGCCCTCATTGGTCATGTGCGCGTTCGTGTGTGTTGGAGGAGGGGCTCTGTAAGGAAGTGGCAGATTTTTTCCGGTTGTGTATTTTCAAATTCTAGCGCACTCGAGCTGGTTTCTTCAAAATTACATACCCCACCTTTAATCTCCAACAACCAAAACACTGCAGTGCTTGTGTGTATGATAAAAATAGCACAATATTTACATTTCAAGTTTAGTTTTAATTATTTTTGTTGTCTTTACTCAGTAGGCTACAGTAGTTTGATTTACTTTTGAGGGTTATAGGGTTACGACAATAAAAAATTGAAGATAACCAATCAGGTCATACTTCACAAACCGGATGATATGATAAGAGTGTAATATAAGTGCGGATGTATAGACTGCTGCTGCTGCGGACTGTGTGTTTCAGTGCTGAGTGATCCGAGGAGACACTTCCTTTTCCAGTATGCATGCATGCTGACAGCTGGGAGGAAGTGGCCACATGCAGGAGAAGCAGCTGCAGGTTGGAGGTCACATTTGATCTGCAATTGTTCCGAATCATAAAAGCACAACGATAAACTCAACCCGTATCATCATCCACACACTGATTAAGATAGAAAGCACAGCATCGTCACACTCAAATGGACGGCTTATAATCAAGTTGTGTAGTGTATGAGATACATTTATGTCTGCAGATAATTAATGCAGTTCCTAGGCTGCAGTCAAAGTAAGCAGAGTATAAATATGTTATTTAAAATGAACACAGCTGAGATAGCCTACTGTATGTGTTGGTAAGAAATGAAATGCTGAACAGAATATATTGCATTTTCCTTAATGTAAATAATGTAGTTGTTTGGACTATTAAGCAGTTTCTGCTAAATGTCCTTTCTCCCTCTTTCTGTTCAGCAATACAATCATGTCATAGTAAACCAAACCTCATATTGTTTCCTTGACGTCTTCTGATTTGAGGATATGCAGTAAATGATTTTTATCTTTTTAGAGAAGTTACATCTATGTTGTGAGAGTGATACACAACTTCCAGAATAGATCCTTACTTCCTTCCCTTGCTAATGAAGCATTATATCCGGATCAGGCAACAAAAGCCTGAGCTCAGGTGTTTCCTGTGTGAGGCAGTGAAGGTGCAGGAAGCTGTCCCTATGGCTCCTTACATCACACATATGTTTCTGTTGGACACTTCCTCCTCAAACTTCCTTTTCCAGTCCAAAGAGTTGTCACATTGGCTTCTAGTATATCAGTGTTATGGAATATAGATGTTAACTGTTTGCATGCTTTTTTTAGTAGCTTCAACTATCTGATCTTATTTCCAGATGTTTTTTGTCTCTCTTCATATCTCTTGGAAATCATTACAAGCTGCACTTGACACATCTAAACTACTCTTCCATAATAAATGACGGATTCTAGTTTGAATTTAGTCTGTCCTGAGAGGCTCGCTCATTGGAGGAAATTGGATGGGTAACGTAAGCGCTCCTCTTGAATGGTGAAATAGCAGAGGGAAAAAAACCGACACACATACACACACACTCTCACAGCAGGCTGACAGTAGCCAAGCAGCAGCCACTGAGACACACACAGTCTGAGTCTGTTGATGAAGACACAAGAAGGACGTCATTATTATTTTTTGGAGTAAAGGTATTTTCGTCATCGGGACGTGTTTTTTTTTTAACTACAGGATTCGCGTCATTAAGTGCCGCGCGCGCATTCCTCAGCAGGATTTGCGCATCTCCAATTGCATTTTGTTTTCTGCTCTCCGCGAGAGCGTTGTTTTAAATTCCCTGCCAGAGGAAAGCTCTCATAGTCATGCTCGAGAGGCGAGCAGCGAAGAGATTCATCTGAAATTCTAGTTTTTCAAAAAATGGAACCACCGCTCTCCAAACCAGAATGCAAAACCATGGACTCGTGTCTGAGGCGACTGAAGCAAGAACTGGTATGTTGTGTTGTATACTTCTACTATTGCAACCAGCTCTAAATTATGTTGTTCTACTTTATTATTGTGCATATCAAACATGTAGTTTTTTATGTGGACTTGGTACATTTAAGTGCGAGCCAAAGAAAATATAAACACGTGTGCTCATTCGAAAATATATAACAAAATAACGTCATATGTGACGCTTTCTTTGCATAAAATGTGTCCGGAGTTGGACAAACCTCTGTCATACTGTAGTTTTTTGCTTCAGCTGGGGGTGCATGTGTATTTTTTTTTAATCGCATTAATCTGTGTAGGCTTAAAGCTTTTAGCAGACCAGAGTGTGTGCATCTCCTCCTCTCTGTCCACGCATCTGGGACAGATGTTTTAATCTTAATGAGCTCAACACAGTTTCTTCTCTTCTCTCAAGGACGAATACTCTTAGGATGGTTCATAAAATACATTGTTAAAAAAGAAATACAAATGTGAGAATCATAATTGAGTGATCATTGGAAAATACACTCTGATTGTCGATTCATGTTTGATTTAATTTAAAAGCAGAAGTGCTAAGGTCTTTAGTTTTCGGTTCCTTAATTGTTAGGGTTTGCTGTTTTGATCTGTTAACTATCACTGTAAACAGAACATCTTAGGGTTTTAGAATGTTGATGAACAAAAAAATACACTTGAAGACATAATCATCAGCTAAGGGAAACAAAACATATTTATTTAAAAAATAATCAATAGATTAACCACCAAAGAAAGAAATATTGATCAGTTGCAGCCCTACAATAGATTGCTGTAAGGTCTCGCTTTAAGTGAAATATGGCCTAAAATTTGATCTCCTCCCCTTTGATAAACAATTGTTTTTGATAATGGCAAATCTAGTGCCATCTCTTACCCCCTGTCCTTGAAATGTAAAAACAAAATCAGTAAGCTGCACCCTCACACCCACATCATTTGGCAGTGATAAAATGTAGACCCATTTTCAAAAGGAGCCTTAACTGGCACAGATTTCATTTGGAATCATCTTCAAAGCAGACACAGATTTTTATTTTTTTCAGACCCAGCCACTGGCCCACAGAAAAGCCTTGCATGGCAGCGTGTATTGAAACATGATCTGCTCTGTGACTTCTGTGAATTAACTTCTCCAAATTAGCCTCACGTCTGTGAAGCGGCACTTGAGGTTTCAGGCGAGTAGACGTGGTTGCCAGGAGGACATGTTGCGTTATAGCTGCCATATCGCAGTTTGGTAACATAATAGAAAAAGGGTCTCGCCATGCCGGGGCTCAAACAGGGGAACAGAGAGCAGATGCCGGTTAAAAAGCCGTGGCAGTGTCCCCCTGCAAAGGACCATGTGGGATGCAATCTGTTGTTCAGAAGAACGAGGGCTGTCTATGCCAAGGTTGTCACTTTTCTTTCTACTTTGACAGATTTTCATCCAGTGCCCGCTGGAGAGCAATAAACCAGCTCCATCTGTAACGCAGAGAACACAAACATCTAACAATCGTATTACACCTGCTGCGTGCCGAGGAAAATCAGTATTCAATATCACTCAAAAGGATTGTTACAGTTGTTTTGCATGTTTTAATACATTACAAATCACATACCTTAATCACAGAAAACCATGTTTCATATCATGGTGCTGTTTTAAAGACATTGTTCAGTTTCAGGAAGCCATTGGTTTCCATTACATGTTGTATTGAATGCAGACCAGTTGGCAGGTCGTTGAACGTACTTGAGATGTGTAATCCATCACACTCAATATCAAGTCTCACTTCATTTAGGCAAAGATGCATCATTGTGGTAATACAGCTTAATTGCAGATTGATTTGAATGCACTACATTACCCATGCCACTTTAACGGACAATAATAAATGCAGACTTAATGTTCAGCGTAATAAGCAAATGCACATTTTAGACCAGTTTAAATGATATTGCTGTTTCAGACTGTATTGCTAACTCATTTAACTTCATTATTCTGATTGATTGTTTGGATGGTGTCATGATTATTTAAAAGTGTTGTAAATCACCATAAATCCTATACAGCTGCGTCAATCTCATCCCCACTTGTCATCTTTTTATGGCCTTTTGTCTGCCTCTATATTTCTTGCCCTTCAAAATAATACAATGTCCTCTTTCTTAACCCCGTCTTCAAAAAGCCTGGAGCCATTAATGAGCAATACTAAATCTCCCTGAAACGCATAAAGATTTAGAGCTGTAGGGACTGATTTAAAGGTCCTGAACCGGGTCAAGCCTTCTAGGAAACTACCATTTCATTTTCATATCTTAATCAAAAGTTTGGACAATAATGGTTGCCAGGAATATGTGGAAATAAAACCAAAGACCTTAAACTGTACAGCATTCATTCAAAAAGGCTTACCAACTTTGTAAAGCACACGTTTTAATAACAACCGTGCAATGTTTTGCAGTGTCTGCAGCATAGAGAAATGTTAGTGTCAAATGATTGTTAAATTACAACTGTTACCTCCATCCCATTGACACCAAATGCACCAACAGCTCTAAAAGAAGCAGAGTGTCATACGAAAGTGTGAACACTGTGTCAGGGGTCGGAGGTCACTCTGTGTGGGGTAGTGTCAGGTCACACTGCTACATTTGACCCCTCACCCGACAAAGTCTCGGGCTATTTCCCCTGACTGCTGACCACATCCAACATGCCAGAGATCCTAAAGCTCAAAGCTGACAGATGACTTCTAAAGGCAGAGTTGTATCACTGTTGTTCAGCTTTCTACCAACTGAAAACAGTTTGTCAACAGGCTGCTGTTGGCAACCATGTATTCCTATAAAAAGCCCTGCAAGGCTCCATAGAAATCCTGAGGATATAAAGGTAACAATGAAATATTCTTAAGCTGCAGCATGCATGACTCATTATTCATACAACAGACAAAGAGTCATGAAAAATAAAACACATAAGCCCTTCCTGACATGCCTTTGAGTCATCTTGTCTAAATGTAGGGTTCACACCTGCATTTCAAACACGAAAGCATAAGTCAAACCTTTTGATGTCATCGCATCTGAAGCTGATTTCATATGCATCATCCTCCTTTATCACTCTCACACCTGAGGCGCATTTCAAAACATGACATGGCTAGGAATTCGAAACCAAAGACAGCTAGCATGAGGTCATGAAATCTGAGGAAAATACAGTGTAGTCTGTAAAGCCTTTGTGCCACAAAGTTGCAAGACCTTTGTTACCCTTAGGGTGTGGGATCAGAAAAGTGCACACAACACAAAGAAGTGTAGCGGTATAACTTTAAGCTTGTTTTTTCGGAGCCTCCCTGCTGGCTACTGTTCTCCAACCTGCCCTTCCTTCCCCTCGGCTAAAATTGGCCTTGCTATTGGTGGCAGCTGTGGGGTTTTGCATGAGTGATCATTGTATTTGAGATGGAACCGCTAACCTTTTTGCAAAGCCTCTTTATCATTTTGAAACTGTGCTCACATAACCTGCTTCATCACATTTCAGTGGATATCACTCCTGAAGACATTTTGTTTCTTCCCTCCTCTGTTTGCTTTCATTTGAAGGAAAACTAGTGATTATTTCTCATGGGTGTTGCTCTGACTGAGGTCTAGGTCAACATTGTGTTCTCTCATGTAGTCATGTCTTTGGGGGCTTCAGATTACATTTTATGTGATATTATTGCTTTGTCAGCAGCAAAAAGGAAATTGTATTTTTGGAATAGTTCTGCCACTAAGAGGACGATGTCTTGTAGACTGTAATAAAGCAGCAATCATTGATTTCTTATGGCCGCTTTGGGGCTGTGGAAGAAGCTGTGAACAGGAACCTGACAAATTATCGCTTTATAAACTTGTTTCAGTGAAAGCAATATTATTATTAAAACTTTGGAATTTAGTCGTCTCTTCTAAATTGGAGCAGCCCTAAAACCTGACAAATGTCAGTTCAATATTCGCTATCTTTTAGCTGTGTCTTTGTTCTCCACCAAATCTTGGGAAACATCTGTTTCTTCAGCTACTAAATGCTCCTTAATGTTCATCGGCTAGTCTTCAACTGTTTAGTGAAATCGACAGAAGAAAAATCAATGAAACGTTTAAAGTGAATCAAGGCGATAAAGTTGCAGGCTTCAAAACTAAAACAATTAGCTGATAGAAAGCTAAAAGAAAACTCCAGATTTGGGATGTAATTCTCTGGGTTCATCAATAGATTACAGTCATTCAATCAATTGTGAGTATACACATATGAATTGGTGCAGGTTGGGCTCATTTACCCCTATTGTTTTTATAACACAGCACCTGTATACACTACAAACTTAAAGTTTCATATACTCTGTACTCCACCGAACAACTGTATACAAGCACTTTATGATGTGCATTATACAGTATATACCGCATTAATGGAGCCCCATTCACTCTTGATACATCTCTTAACTCAATGAGCTTTTAATTGCTGAACAAATAATAATAGCTACTTAATCAAGCTACTAAGTATGAACGTGTCCCTGCAAAATGAACACGTCACACTTGCTGTCAAAACTGTGGGCAGGAGCAGTGGCTGCACACGTTCACTGCTTTACAAGATGCTGACGTCAATTGCTGCGCTATCAAAGATCTGACTAATGATCATTGCTTTCACTGAAGATTTCAGCCAGAAAGACAACAGATTGGGTCCCAGATTTTCTCCAAAAGAATTCATCAGCCTAAGATGATTATACAGATCCTAATCATCTTGTGAATCCCTCAGCAGCATCGCTTTATGTAATGGCGTAAATGAGCCGAGGCAGGAAACAAGCTATTTAACCACCTCCTGTCTACTTGCCATGTAGCCACTAAAGGGGCTTTGCAAACTCAAATGAGACGTTGTATCTACGCCTTTGCACTAACGACAGGTGCTATCTGTTCCTTGGGAGGTCTCTGAATATACAGAGGAGCCAGGACACTCATTCTGAAGAGTTGTTGCTGGGTTCTTTTAGTGCTGTGTTCATCAACAAATAAACTCCATTCAGCTTAATTGAACGGGAGGGAAGGCAGAAATCTGAGGAACAATTATT